GCTTTACATCTAGTCACTATGGTCTCATCTCAGTGACGCAGGTAATCTTTATTCTCAATGCTTCCTCGTGCTGACTGTAGAGGTGCGGAAGGAGAAATCTCCAACGGCCAAGGTCCCAGTCTACGATTCTTCGGTGATTCTAACTCATCGAACTTTGAACGAGACGATGCCTTCAAGGTTAAGCCGACCCTGGCATGCTTGCTTGAGCATACGGAATTCCTCTCGTCGAATGCGGCGATGCCAGTATTGGTACAAGGAGTGGCTGTTGGTGTAGACTATCGCACACTCCCAATGAATGTCGCCCCCTACCTCCGCATCACTGACCAGGGATTCGTACCCCTACGAATGCTGCCCCCAGATATGGCTGGTGACCAGGAGTCTGTTGAGAAACTTATTGATATGTCTAAGTTATGCGGTCTCACCATCAAAAGCTTTTCATTGTCTTCTTCTTCTTCTTCTTTTTCTTCTTCATCATCATCATCCCGCAAGAGGCCGCGAGAAACATACCCTAAGCTTGGTAATCGAGGCCGTGTTAAACTTCGAGGGATGATAGCTGCCGCCGTTAAGGGACATTCTCGGGAATGGAAGCTCTCTCGAGGGATCAGGGATTTGAAGAGCGCTAGAGTGAAGGATCTCATACGCATGGCTGACGAACTTGGTCTGAGTGAATATATTGATACTGTTGCCTTAACCTAGTACCTCCGTAGCTTTTATTATGATGGCAGATGTAGGCACGTCTCAGGCCTTATTTATACCCAGAGAAGTGTCTAATCTAAGAGGTCCTTGTCCTTCAAAGGATCCTAAATCGTATTACAATTTTCAATCTTCGACAACTATGGTCGCCTGGGTGTGTAGTATCCCGGCTCCTACTCCAATAGTGGAGCCGTATTTCTCGCCAGCGATCTCTCGATTATCATTGCCTATTATTTATTTTATTAATTGCAGTTAGCTCACGCTCTCTCAATCAGTCATCAGTTGAGTTCAGTTGCTGGATGTCAGCGTTAAACTGTGAGCATGCTCATGAGTTGGATGAGGAGGGTCATCTTGGTAAACATTGCTATATCCACTTCGTATCATACCAACCGTATATCAGCTGTCTATGGGGTTTCACCCGCATCTGTAGTAGTATATCGGGAATGTTTCAATAAAGGTATGGCATCTATCGTGGGTTACGGCTCTTCTTACTTCTCCCAACACGAAATCAGACCGCTCCAAAGTAGTCGGATGAAACATAACATAACTGTGATCATCATCATTGGCTGCTCCTGCTGCTGTCAGCAGGGGACTCCATCTCCTCGTCACTGTCCTCTGAAGAGGACGATGTTGCCTGGCTGGCCCACACCGAGTCCGTCTCGGACACCGATATCGAGCTGCTCTCATCCTGGTCTTCTAATTGCTCTGTGATGCATCTGATGATAACTAGGAGTCCAAATTAGTGTTTCCTGAGAGTCATCACCTGATAGCGTATCGCACAATAGGGGATAGTTGGGGGACGGGGAGCACATCATTAACACTGCTTGCATCCGGTGAGACTGCTGGTGGCGATTCAGACGACGCAAGCTCCTTCGTGGAGCCCTCAAAATCCCGCTGGAGATC